TGGCGCATTAGCGTTGCTAGAACACGCCTTTTAGGATCAGGTGTGCTCCTGGATAAAGGATCGCAAACATCTGGAGTTTTGAAATAAGTTGAAGTCACTTTTGAAATATGGAATGGCAAAAAAAAAAAATTCTGTAAAGACTTTAAAGATATTTATTTTATAAATTAAAAAAGATCTTTAATCATTCGGATTTCCGAGTAATAAAATATAAGAGACATACAATTCCCATGTAACTCGAGCAGATTTGCTAAAATAACTATAGAGATTTCGTGTAATCCCCCACAAGATCGGTAACATCTTCATTTTGAGAAGACAGGACATCCTTTTTATAATCATGGGTGTAACATTCGCAGCCCCTTGTCTCTATTGTACGCAAATCTGCACCAAATTTATGCAAATTGAAATTCCTGAGCAACACCTGGTAGGCAGGAACAATTGTCCCAATGATGAATGTGCTGGAGATTTGTTTTTCTTTTTTCGTATTTTGTATTTTTGCCCCGTCGTGTTTTGTTTTGGAATCAGAACAGACAGAGACCGGGCCAGACAACTTGGCGCGGCGAGAAGAAAACTGTAGCAGCAGCCAGGCAAGGTGTCAATTCTGGGAAATCTGCCCAGCATGTGCAGACAATGGCCCAGCACAGCGGGATCACTTCACTTGGCCAAGAAAATGGTTAAGGCCATGGCCAGCTATAGGCCAGCTATGCATGCCCGCTCCTTGGTGACAATGACAATGGTGCAAGGTGAGATCAGGTGAGGAGTGAGCTGATTCTATATAGTGTTGGCTAAAAAAAAAGAGCTAAAGGTAGAGGTTACTTTGGGGAAAATTAGGAAAGTTTTGGGGATTATTTACAGCTTACAGGGCTTACATGGATTGTCGAAATAAAATTATTTATTAACTTTAAAGAAACTTTAATATCTAGCCATAAAGTAGCCAACCTTGGCACAACTTCCGCACTATAACAGGCCATAACGAAGGCACAGACAACATTATTGTCGTTCGACTGGCAAAAGTAGTCCAGTGGGCTGTGGGAGAATCCTCTAGTAGCGCTCCAATTTACTTGTCCTCCACTCACTTATTCTTCTTCCCACAAGCAATTTGCATGTTGAGGCCTTTTTTCAGCCTTTTCCTTGGCAAAAAATCACTTTGTTCGCTCTCTATTGCACTTTGCATTGAGGGGATCGTTTATTTATCTAGTAAATTCGGATGATTTTGCATAATTTATGGGGTTTACATATCTAGTTTTTGTGTGCTTAAGCCTTGACATTATTGTAATTTGACTTGGAAATCTCTTAACTGTTTTTAGTCCAGTTATTTTATTGAAATATCACATTATATGTTAGTAGGTATATATTTCTTTTAAGTAGTTTAATAATATAGAAGTACAGAACCCACCACACTTGTTACTTTTTTGCGATCCTTAGAAACCTTCTAACACAGAAATTCCTTCGACCTGTTTTACAGGACAATGCCAATCTCAATGGGATATTCTGGGAACGGAAACGATGCTGCTGTGAAAATAAATTAGTTGAAGATAAAATAACAATCCTATTGAAGGTGTCCTTTTGCCAGCGTGTCATTTTACTTCCGCTTCTCAACCAATAGATTTTTTTAAAGGCAAAAAAAAAGAAAAATAATAAAAAGATAAATAAATAAGAGCGATTGCAGGTGTTCCAACTCAACTGCCTACCTCCAGGGCATGGGTATTACTTTGGCATTAATTGCTAACCCAATATGCTGATAATTGAAACATTTCCCGGCCTGTCTGCCATTTCCATAAGCCAAATAGATCGCTTCCTCTGACAGATCGGGCTAACATTTTCAAAGACCCACGCCCACCAAAGTGAGGCTTCGTCGGTGGAAAACCAGTAGCAACTGCAAAATTGCTGTTGGGCTGTTCCTGTTGCAGTTGCAGTTGCAATCAAAACCATCAGCGACCACAAAGTCCACGTCGTCATCATCATCATCATCGTCGTAGTCGTCGTAGTCGCCGTAAAACGTTGCCCTGGCCAAGATTGATCATCGGGCCTGGCCCAGGCTCATCCATTTTTTTTGTGTTGCTGATGCTGCAGCTTTTATTTTTTTATATATATATTTTTTGTTTTGTTTTTGGCTTGCCCAATCAGCCACACCCACAAGATGTGCAGCGTTCATATTAAAATGGCTTTAAAAGGCAACAGGCAGCGCTGAAAGTGGCAAGACACAACAATAACAACCGCATTGGAGATCTGCAAGATGCCTCGCTTCCGTTCCAGCTGCAAGGTGTGTGGCAAAGACGAGAGGCCCCAAAACAGAAACAGTAGCCTGCCACTGCCACTCCACCGCCACCGAAAGCGCAACAATTGGCAATTTCATTTGCTGCGCCCCCAAATAACGCAGCTCCAACAGGTACGCAAACTCAGTGATGTGGTTGTGAATGTAACTGATGGTACAGTGGGTATTTCTTATAGATAACTAGGTGTCATAGATACATATATTTAATCCTGTAATTACAACTTTTGTTTTCTTCATTTTTAAACATTGATATACCTCTTAGAAGTATCATGGAGAGAATATGTCCTTAAAGATAAGCAGTCCAGAGGATAAACAATCGTCCATATTTTTACACAGTTTCCTCTCCAAAAAGTATCAAGTGGGTTAAAAAAATTAATTTTTATTAAATACCACTAGATTTTAGTATTATTTAAAGTTTAAATTTTAAACCCTTTATAAACAATATCCACTGTCTATTGGTTAACAGGCTCCATTCAAACTTTCTACGTCTGCGACACGCTGCGATCTCTATGAACATGGCCAGAATGGGGATGGGGCTGGCAGTGGGGTTGTGTTTGGAGATTGAGGCTTAGAGGCCTCCAGGGGGCCTATGGGGGAAATGGGGATAGGGAAGCTCTGGGTGCTTAGTGCATAAAAAAAGCTGGTGGTGCTACATCATCGTCAAACCCGTCGAGTTGCGACTTCGATTTCCTGTGCGGTGGATTGACGTCTCCCAGGTCACTTGCCACAGCGTTTGGTTGCATTCGTAATTGCTCCGCAACGAAATTTCCATATGATAATATTTATTCGCTGGAATATGCCTCATGCCTCCATCTCGAGTCGGCTCCAACTGCATCTGTCTGTCGGTCCTGTGGAGGCTACGCCTGCGCGCCACGCAACACTCTTTTTCTTTTTGTAAGCACTGTAAAAAGCGAAAGGATATATAGCTGGATGGCTGCTTATTAAACAATTACCTAAATATATTTTTAAAGCTAGTTTTATACAATTTTTTTAAACCTTTATTTCATGAACTATACCTTAGTTCTTTCAAAACTAAGCTAGACCCTTAAGTGGGCCTCTATTTTTTCTACTGTATGAATATTTTTGTTTGTGCTGTCTATTTGACACTGCGCAGGCGGCGAGGATGCTCTGCATCCAACTCTAAACTGCAACTTCGACTCCAAAACTCCAACTCCAGAAATGTGTGGGTGGTCGTTTGAATGCCCTGCCCGACTGCAAGTCTTTCTTTTGCCAAAGCTTCGTGTGTTCGCATTTTTTATTTCCATTTTCCATCTTTCGGAAAGGCCAATGCTTCCACTTCGCCCCAATCCTCAATCGATTTGAGTTTTATTATCTGGTTGGCATTTTAGTTGAATTGTTAGCTTAGTTTATGCATCCAGCTCCTCGGAAATGGCAGGCCCAGACAGGCAAACGTTTTTTTCCTGGCCATGTGTGGATTATGCAAGCCGTATGGAATCTACATTTTGTGGCCATTGGGTGGTATGCTCAATGGGCTAAGAGGTAGGAAAGGTTTTCAGTCGAAAGACTCACCTTCACGTTACCAACTTGCACCTTGCATTAGAGTTAATTTCTAGCTAGTCCACCCGCAGAACCTATAAAATAAACAGTCCAGAACCGCAGAAAAAATAAAATAAACAGGTAATTAGGTCAACGCCTGGGCTAAGTCGAGTGTCGCCGGCACGCGTAATGAACCTGTTCAGGAGTTGGTCAACTCGCCACGAATTTCTAATAAATTTCTAGCCGGGCTAAGAACAAGTCAAAACAACACGCGCCCCGTCTGATCGCTCCTGGGCACCTCAGGTACCCGGAAAGCCTCTTAATATGCCAGCCAACACACCCTCATGCGTTGGTTGTTTGTTGTCCGGTGTCCGGTGGTTTTCGGCCCCGACACTGATGATCGTTTTGGGCCAGAAGTTCAGTGGTGCACGGAAATGTGCGGGACGACTTGGGCCGACAGGGCCAACAGGGCCGACCGGGCCGACAGGCGACTGTCGCGCGTCGTTGTTTTTAATGGTGAATGTTAATATCCGCTCACCCCCGACCGTCTGATGAGGGATTCCATCAGACCGCCTCTATTTGAATAATTAGTCGCTCGTGCCCGTCGCCTGTCGCAGGCCCACTTGCATTCCGGTGCACTTTGCATAAAGTGTCCTGAACTATGAGCCCTTTCAGCTCGAGCCTTGCGCTTGCACCTTCCCCATTTCCTTCGCCTCGTGTTACAGGTCACTGGAGAGGAACAAGTGCTTAGAACGGGCCAAATTAGTGGGCCGTAGGTCATGTACTTAGAGAATAAGGGTTATACTTTTGAACTATAAAATAATATATATAAATATGATTAAAAAATATCCCAACCATTAATAAAAATAATCCTTATGCAATGCTAAAACTAAACAGAACTAGATATCACTTCTAAACAGAACTAAATTTCTAAAAATATATATTTTTTTAATTATACCCCAAGGCAAAGACTACAATATTTCTACTTTCTTCTCACTGTAGCCAATTCATAATCTTTTATTCACTTATTTTTTCCAGTGCTGAAAACACAAAAGGATGCGGTCAGTTTGTTTGGATCCTTAAGGGGTGGATGCACTCAAGCGGTGCATGCCGGCACATATGCCACGTTTGAGGTGTTGCTGCTGGCTCGTGGCAGCAACTATAGCACCTGGCTGGGTGGTGGAATTCAAGGACTGTCAAGACCTTCAAGTTGGCCAGGTGATGGGTGCCCGAAATCTCTCAATAACATTTAATTATTGCCGTTTGACAACCCTGGCGAAAAAATAGGCAAACAGCAGCTGTCAACCTGGGTGACTGATTCGTTTGCCGAAAATAATCTTTTTTTTTCAAATATCTCCATTATCCTCTAGATAATGGCGGAGCGTGGCATCGAAGTGCCTATGCAGCCCTATGCTGGCCCGCTACTCCTCATCAAGGATCTCACCATTCCGGATACTTCGTCCACCACATCCAAGGCTAGACCTTCATTTTTCGATCGTAGTTGCGTCCTAAAAAGGCTACTGATGGTTTTGGGCCAAGAATACCCCGACGAGGAGTTCAACATCGAATGTGATGATCCTCTTATTAAAGGTTTCATGGCAGGTTTGGAGACATTTATGAAGTTTACGGTTCAAAAGTCTGTAGAGCAGTGCGAACAGCGAATTAGCTATTTTTTATTCAACGACAAAAGGTGTACTATGAAGAACGAAATGCGATCGACGATGACCTTTCTGAATGATCTGGAAAAGGCCGATTCTGGATCCTCCGATGAAGATGACTTTTATCGAAAAAATTGCAACCTGGAATCCCGAGATCTGAAAATTTCCAGGATGAAAATGGCAACGACTAATACTACTGCTCTCAATGCTATTGGAGAGAAGCGTCCTGTTGGAGGCCAAAAGGCACAACCAGGTGCCCCTGGTAATCTACAACGTATGCGAAAGAAATATCTAAACGTTCACGATGTGATGCAGTTCATGGCGGAGGACAAGCGCTTTTCCAGGAGCAATATGCTTTTTCTAGCCCATTTGAAATATAAGCCTTAAAAAATGGAATAAATTAAAATTCCTTAAGGGGTTTAATGCTTTAAACCTTGTGTTATCATTTCAATTGCTTCAATTTCAGTTCAATGAACTTCCTTTACAAGCAAATCCCAACAAACTCAAACAAAAGCCCAAGGAAACAGGTGGTGTATCCTTTGTTCCACTGCACTTGGCATTTTCAATGAATCCCCCAGCTCCGTGCACTTTGAACTTTTGTGTTGCACTGCTGCTGCTGTTGCTGTTGCAGACGGAACATGTCGACAATGGAGCCGGGTACTTAAAGGAATATCCGGCGAGACAGGAAACATATGCGCACTGGAATTGGAATGAATGCCATTGAACGCATTGCGCATGCGCCGCTTCTTTATTTTCTTGGGGTTTCTTGGCGATAGGAAACGTGATTTTATCGGCCGCGTCTCATTATGTTAAGTGCTGGCAATAAAATCAAAGCGCACGCGGGCGACACATTTCATTGAACTTCAATTGAAGCCGTTCTTTAACTCGAACCGCTCACGTATCTGCCAGACACATGCCCTGGGGATCGTGCTAGGAACTCGCCGGAGTGGGAGGATTTATTTCTATGTAATTTGGGGACATTACCAAAGGGTTAGTGCGATTATAAATGCATTGGGGCTTTGAATATTTAAGTATTGTAAATACAAGTCAGGTTAAGCACGCTATTTGTTAAAGGAGGTACCTATGAAAGGTTAAATTAGCTCTATAGATAGATTACTAGATTGAGTTTAGTACTCTAATATATCCTTAGAAGCTTGGCTCGCTTACAGTCTTTTCCTTACTTAAACATCTGCTTACTTAACATAATACGAATACTAACTTTGAGATCCCTATCTAAATACAAGTTTTTTCCAAATATCCCTAAAAATAGAAACAAATATCCTCTAAAACTGTACCCGTAGCCTCTTCCTATTCATAGATAAGTATTTGATAAGGTCCTAATGTTTAAACAAATTTTTCGAGTGGGTACCATCCGCAGGATCAGGATCACCACCTGTCTGAGGTGCAAGCTAGCCACCCCTATCCTCTACCAGCACCCTCTGCTCAGTACTTGCTACATGTTGCAATATCAACTCGGGCGTATATCCCTTTTTGTAAATAATATATTTCAAGGACTTGCAGGAACAGCTGCGGGCTGATAGAAAATATCAAACGCTGTCAGGCGTAAACTTGACAGGTAGTGCTAGACCAGGAAAAGTTCTCCCCCTTGTTTTCTCTCAACAAGGATCGGGGGAAACCACCCCATAAGTTGCCACTTAAATCCACTGAGAAAAACATTTTTTGGACAAGGTAAATATTGTTCAATTGTAGGATTGGTAGGATAAAAGTCCCATTTCAACAAGAACTCATTGTGATATCCATTGTAAATATATTAATATTTTTATCCTTATAAAAAACTGTATTTTTTACAGTGCCACAATCGCTTTTCCGAGAGGAAGGGGCAAGTTTTATGGTGCCAGCAAGGTGTATTTGATCAGAGGGACGTAGAGCCGAGAACCTTGCAACCCAGCAAGGACAGGAAGGCGAATTCCAGCACATGCAACACCACCGGCACCTCCACCACCGCCGATACGTTAGTTTCCTTCCATTCTACTATAGGTGCACCACCATATCGTGTTTGTATAGCAGGAACACACAAAGAGTTGCTTTTGTGAGTTTGGGGGAAAGGAAAATGCGTTGCACCTTTTTTGCATAACGCTGCTTTCTGTTCCGCTCGGGATTAAATGTATGTCGGTACACACAGATGTATGTATGAATATCTGTCTGTCATCATTATAAATATATTTATATTTTAAAAGAAGACCTCGACTCTTCTTCGGCTGTAGCGAAGTAGCAGCTGTGCCAATACGAGGTCTAAGGCTTTGGGTGATCATAAAATAAAGTCCAACAAATTTGTTGTTTGCCGACCGGGATGGCTCCGAGACCGGTGTTTTCCATTCACCCAGTCGACTCGACTGAAAGAATCCGATTCCGATTCGGAATGGGAGTGGGAATTGATTGGAGCAGGGACGGATGGGCTGAGCTGCTCGTGTTTGCTCTTCGATAAGGGACCTGATGGGGCTCCACAATGACATCTTGCTTCGCACTTATTTACATATAATTGAGCACTCTCCTTATTTGTCTAGTCATTTAAATAAACCCAATTGCCGAAGGCCTTCGTTCTACTAAACGACAGTACTCCTTCACGTTAACAGGCCACGTGATATCGGTAGCTGGTAAATGCCAATCCTTATAGTTGAAATCGGTTGGATGGGGTAAATAATTTCCTCATTAGCAGCTGGAACACACACTTTGGGGGAAAGGCAGTTGTACTACCTATCACTATCGATCATTTTCCCAAGGAAGTTTAACACATTTCTATGAAGTTTGGGTATTTCATAGAAATATTTGACTTTTAAATGGCTTTTAGTAAACATAATATGAGCTATTTTAAAAGTATATGAAGCCCCTAGCCATAGCTAGCTGTTTCCTCATGATTGTACAATGTGTTTTCTCACCTTAAGTCGATCATAAAAGTGATGAATTTTACAAATATCAGAGTTATATGGCCCAAACAGCTCACACTTCGTTTTTGGGAAGCATTCCAGCTCCGTTTCTAATCCGCAACATATGCTGAGGACCACCAGTCAACAGCCAGCACAGTGGGCACTCACAAAAGAGGCCATAAAAACACATGGACACGTAACGATTTGCGCCGCTGAGCCAAACGGAGGCTCAGAGGCTCCAACTGTTGCGTATTAGAGCTGGAACAAAAAAAAAACAGGGGAGAAGGGGCTAGGCCAGCCTCCGGTAAGACAATTTATGACTTTATTAACTCCAAAACGCAACCAGGCGGGCAACAAAGTGTTAAGCCAGGCTCAAGCCGATGCCGAGCGGCCAGGCGATGAAGTTGTATAAATGAAATTAATCTTCAATAGACACAGGGCAATAAACGAAACCAAGTATCTCAGGCAGTCTGGGACTACACTGATAGAAATTCTAGGGCTTAGAATAGGGATACTTTTGGCTTGATCTACGTTACAAGTATGATACCCAACATTGAATGAAGTTTAGCTTTTATTTTGTTTATTAACTTCTTTGAAAATGATAAATTTGTCACAATTATTATTATTTTCTTCAGTGTCAAACCAACACTGCCATTAGTCATTAAACAATTTTCCAGTGAAGCTGCCGCTTGCAACTCCATCTCCACTTTCAACTTAAACTCCTGATGCAGTTGCTGCTGCTGCTGCCGTTGAGGCTGCTGCGTATTTTGTCAGGTGTCATAAAAACCGAATTTATTGCGCATGTGCAACGACCATAAGATGCCGCTCTCCTCAGCATTTTGTTACAGATTTTCAGTTTTATTATTTAATTTTCTTGCTGCCAGAGCATAAATCACGATGCGTGCCGCGCTAAGGTGACAGCACTTTAGGGCACATAAACATACAACATCGACATCGGGATCGGGATCGAGATTGAAATCCCCATCAGGATGGGGCCTAAAAGAAACAGCGAGGAGCAGGTTGCTGGAATTTTAATTAAATGGGACACGGGTAGTTCCATTTAAGGTGCGTGGCCTGGCAAGAAATCCCAGGAATCGAGTCACTTCACCTGTGGGCGAAAGCTGTACGTCTTTGAATGATTAATGTTAAGAAATAAAAACGATTTAAAATCATATAGCAACCAAAATGTTTAATATTCTTAGAACTTCATGATGCTTTGTAGAATTTTATTTAAAATCAAATATTCTTGTGACTTTATTTACCTTTAAAAATGCATATATCCTTTTATTTAAACAAAAAGCAAAAAAATCGTTTCCAAAAACTTGAATTTCACACGCTCTCACCTGCGGGTGTTCTTTCCTTTCTTTATTTTTTTTTTATGGAAAAAGAGCACGTAATGTGGTGGATGCTGATGCCGATGTCGATGTCGATGCACTTGTTCCCACAAAATTCCTCGGCATAGGCCATTTCCATGAATGCCAAACAAGGCAAAAATTTCACACTCCACACAGGGGGGGGAGAAAAAAATAAAACACAAATACAAAAATGAAAAGAAAAAGGATAAAATGAACCCGAATAAGAGCCAGTGAACCTGCCACAGAGCCTGAGAAATTCTCGATCTCAATTCGAGGACAGGGAAGGACAGGCCAGGACAGACATCTCAGCATAATCAACAAGATCACGCATCAAACGAGACGACAGCCGCATAAGAATGCAAACATTAAGAGATTTTATGCGAGTTTGTTCACATGCCAAAAAAAAGGGAGGCAGCCGTAGCAGCAGGAGCAGTTCAACTCACAAAAAATATATACACAGAAATGCGAACAAAGAAGCTGAACAGGTACACAGGACGATTATCCTGTCATTCACTTGTTGCCGGCAAGGGAACAGGTAAAAAAGGAGGAGTCTGTGTCTGTGGCAGTAACCCAGCAATTTTCAGTTACACTTCCTGCAGGAGAGGTGGTCCTGCCTTAGTTTAGCGTGTGAACCTGTTTGTTGCCAATGCTCCTTCCTTGCCAATTTTTTTTTTTTTTTTTTTTGCGATGCTAATCTGTGGCCTCACATTTTTTTGGCAAATTTCTGTTTTTCATTTTTTGGGTTAATTTTTGGTATTATTTTTGTTATTGTATTAGATCGCAACTGGGTCTGTGGAGCGGGCATTTCGTGTTTTTCGATAATTTATTACAGTTGCCCAATTGGCCGAAAACGGTTCGCTTCGGAAACTAAACACTTTTTTATTGTCATATTTATATTTGCGATTAGTTTTTTAGTTTTCTGCTCTCGCTTCTCCTTTGTTGTTTTATTTTTTTTTAACGATTCTGTTATTTTTTTCTTTGCTATAAATTCGAATTTTAAGTCGCACGCAAAATTTATTCCCACGCATTTTCAGTTCGTGATATTTTTGGGGTCTTTTCATTTTTTTCGGTTGTTCATAAATTTTTCGAGAGCACAAATCAAGCGAATAATGTTAAAAGCGACGTTTTATTGTTCTTTTTGTTGGAT